CACGCAGCCAGCGCCGGGCAGAGGGCAGAGGCCGCTCAGCTCCTGCTCCGTGCCGGGCTCCGGGACGCTCCGGATGCCACGGGAACGCTGGCACAGCAGCTGGCCAGGAGACCTGAGCTCATCCAGGTTTTCCAGGAAACTCAAATCAACACTTGAAGAAGAGGAACGCACTCATTTTCCACGTGGTATGGTTATCCCATAATTAAATTTACATTTAGGGAAACACCGGATTAAAGACGGATTTTTACCCAAAATTGAGCGGAGGAACCAAGCTTGGCGCTTGGGAATTCTTTTTGGGAGAAAACATGTTTTAAATGGGATTATTTTAAAGAAAGTGGAAATCTGGCTCTTCCCTGTGAGGGGGGTGAGGCCCTGGCACAGATTTTCCAGTAATGTTGTGGCTGCTCCATCCCTGGAAGTGTCCAAGGCCAGGTTGGAGCACCCTGGGATAGTGGGAGGTGTCCGTGCCATGGCAGAGGGTGGAATGAGATAATCCTTAATGTCCTTCCCACCCAACCCATTCCATGTTTTTATCCCATTCCTATGCTCATCCATCGTTGTAAATTGATTTTCTTTTTCACTTCCAAACTCCAGGGCTGAGCTTTGCCTCTTCCTGTGCAGCTCCTGGCAAATCCCAGCTCCATGAAACAGAACCATCCCAGGAAGGAAAGTGGCACTTTAGGGATCCTTATGGCTTTTGTGGGAATTTCCAGACTGAACATCTCGATGAAGATCCACCTGGATCCTTGATTTTATTGCCCTTCATGGACCTGCTCTCCACTAATCCCTTAAATTCCTTTCATTTCCCACTTTGGGTAAGACAAGGACTCTTAAAGCTGCATCAACCTTTTAAATCCTTTTTGCAGCTCGGAGCTGATCCCAAAACCTGCTGGAATCCACAGTGGGACCTCATCCTTGTGAGGACATCGAGAATGTTTGGATCAGACTGAAATAAGGAGGTGTTTGTTATTCCAGACTGGAATTCTGGGCAATTCCCAGCACTGATGAACTTTAAATCCTAAAAATCTGCTCTTGAAGTCTGTGAATACACAGCGAGGTAAGAGCAGCTGCAGCTGTTGGGTTTATGTTGCTGGAATTATAAATTCCATAGAAAAGTGATGTGTCCTCATCTATTTGTAATGCCAGGGTGTAGAAACAAATGGAATTCTGATTTTTTTGGCAATGGGAGATGTTAAAAATTGGGCAGGGAGTGAATTCAGTTGTGCTCTTGCCTGAGCTGGGTGGGTTTGAGTTGAAAATTCTTGCCCTGCCATCCCTAGAGCAGGAATTGCTGGGAGCTGTATCAGCCCCTGGGTGGGTGAGGAAATGGTTTTATTCCTCTGAAAATCCTGGATCCTTCCATAAATCCAGCCCTGGCCTCCCTACAGCAATAAATGCCAGGGGCTGCTTCATTTTCCCACTTTTTATCATTTCAACAAACCATGAAATAGCCTTTTCCTCCCATTATCCCTGCTGAGGAGCTCGGATTGCTGCTGAGTCCAGGGGAAAGCAGTGGGAATTCAAATATCCATGGAAACACAAAAGGGAAACACCTCAAAACCACAAAATCACCTTCAAAACACGAAAGGGAACGTGGATTCAGCATCACTCGTGCAGAATTCACCAGGGAAGAGCCCTTCCCGTTTTTCCAGCTGCTTTTGCTGCCCAAGGTCAGGGTTTGTTACTCCCCTGAGGGAGTCAGGACATTTTTGTGTCGGTGAGATTGGATCCTGCCGCGTTCCCATCGGAGCAGAGCCCAGGAGCTCAAGGCTTTGGAATTGTTATTCCACCTTTTCCAGCCTTGGCTSTCCTGSTCCAASAGCCACARGGAATCCTGGAATGGTTTGGGTTGGAAAGGACCTTAAATCCCATCCCATTCCCACCCCATTCCATGGGCAGGGACACCTCCCCTATCCCAGGGTGCTCCAAACCCTGTCCAGCCTGGCATAAAATAAATCAAATGCCATCAAATAAAAATAAAAAGAAATAAAATAAAAATAGTATAAAATATTTTTTAAAAAATTGATAATGAAATAAAAGACAGACAAAAAAGGTAAATAAGAGAAATAGCAAAGAAATAAATTACAGTGAAGAAAAACTGCATAAAATAAAGAAACAAACCAAAAATAGAATAAAATAACAACACAAAAATAATAAAAATGACATAAAATAATTAATATACAATAATAAATAACATACAACCAAAATGACATAAAAATGAATTAGCATAAAAATAAAATAACATAAAATCACAAATTCACTTTCTCCGAGAGGGAATTAATTAAGGAAACTCTTTTTCGTAGAATGCTGGAATAGTTTGGGTTGGAAAGGCCCTTAAATCCCATCCCATTCCCACCCCCTTCCATGGGCAGGGACACCTCCCCTATCCCAGGGTGCTCCAAACCCTGTCCAGCCTGGCCTTTGGCACTCAAAGAGATCCAGGGATTCTCTGGGATTTCCATCCCAGCCCCTCCCCACCCTCCCAGCCAGGAATTCCTTCCCAATTTCTCTTTCCCTCCTTTCCTTTCTTCCTTCTCATCCTCCCTTTCCTTCCCTCCCTCCCTGGATTTTCTCCACAGATTTTGGAAAAGATGCACCACCCAAAAAGGGCCATCTCTATGGATCACCATCCACTCTCCAGCCTTGGCTCCTCCAAATCTCCAAATCCTTTCCAAGGAAGGGCTTTGCTCCCATTCCAATCCACCCTGRGCAGGATTTTGGGAGCTTCACCCATTTCTCCATCATTCCCAGTGTTTCCACAGGGATTTCCATGGCCTTAGGATGGAATTAAGATGCCTTAAGCCCCCACGGGTGCCTAATCCACGGGCGCCGTAAGCGGCTTTGCCGTTCCCGCTGCCTACGTGCTCCTTCCYTGCAATTCTGATCCGTGGGGTGGAAATTTGCCCTCAAACGGGAAATTCCTGCCTCCCACTGGGAAGTGGAGATGGGGTGGTGGTGAGGATTTAAAAAAAATCCATGAAATGAAAAAAACTCAAATCTTTTAGAAAATATAGGATTTTCTGCACCCGGATGAGAGGAAAAGCTCGTGTTTTGGGGTGGAAAAGGGGAAAATGTGGGAGGGGCCACAGGGGAGAAGGGCAAGTGGGGTTTGGGAAGTGGGAATGTGCCCTAATTATGGGGGTTTGGTGGGATAATCAGCAAAATTCCCGTTAAAAGTGGTTTATGGGGTCTTTGGGATGGGATGGAAAAGCAGCGGATGTGGAGGGATTGGGGGGTCCTATATGGGGACTAATTAACAACCCTAAATTGAGGAACCCCCTAATTTAAGGATCCCACAAAATTGATAACCCCCCCAAATTGAGGACACCCTCCTAATTTGAGGAACCTCCCCAAATTGAGGAATCACACCAAAGTGAGGAATCCCCCAAAATTGAGGATGCTCCCCAGAGGAATCCCCTAAATTGAGTATCTCCCCAATATTGAGGACCATCCCCAAATTAAGGGGCCCCACTAAATTAAGGATCCCCCAAATAGAGGACCCTCCCCCAAACTTAGAACCCCCCTAAATGAAGAATCCCCCCAAAAGAGGATWCTCCATCCTAATTGAGGACCCCCCCAATAGAGGACGTTCCCAAATTGATGAACTTCCTAAACAGAGGAATTCCCCCAAATGTAGGGCACCCCTAAATAGAGAACTCCCCTAAACCTGTGGATTCTCTCCCCAAATTTAGGGCCCCCCAATAAATGGAGGAACCCCCCCAAAATTGAGGCCCTCCCCTAAATAGTGGACTCACCCCAAATAGAGACTGCCCCCCTAAATTGAGGAACCCCCCAAAATAAGGAGCCCCCAAAACTGAGGCTCCCCCAAACAGGTCTGTCCCCAAATAAAGGACCCCCCCCATAAATTGAGGGTGCCCCTCCAAATGGTGGAAGTTCCCAAAACTGAGGAATCCCCCAAACTGAGAATCCATCAAAATTAAGGAATTCCCCAACTAAAGGACCCCCCCTACATTGAGACCACCCCAAATAATGGACTCCCCAAAAAGAAAGGACCCTCCACATTTAGGACCCTCCCAAATTGAGGAACACCCCCAAATTGAGGAACACCCCTACTAAAGGAGCTCTTCAAACTGAGGAACCCCCATAAATTGAGGATCCCCTCCCAAATAAAGGATCCCCGTAAATCAAGGACCACCCCCAAATAAAGGCCCCCTATAAACTGAGGATCCTCTCCCAAATAAAGAACCCCTATAAATTGAGGACCACCCCCAAA